ATTTAAAATTTATTATATAAGCAGGGGAAAAGATCAAGATAAACTTTAAAAAAATTAAAGTAATTACTTTATAAAAAAACCTTAAATTAGTTAAAAAGGTCTAAAGCTTTCTAGGGTTTGTAAATTTCTACTAATAGTTTATTTTAAAATTTTTAGATATTATACAGCCTCTTACAGATCTAACTAAGAAAAATTAGCCCTTTTTTTAGATTTTAGAGTATAAAATAAACTTCTAGATTTTAAAAAAAAAATTTATAATAAAACTAGTACTCCGGCCTTTTAATCTAAAATATATAATAATTATAAAAATAGATTCCTCAGGCTATAATATAGGGGGTATATTATCACAAATAAATAAAAATAAAAAATTATATTCTTATATATATTTTTTTAAGTAAAATACTCTAGCGGAGTATAATTATAAGATTTATAATAAAAAGCTTCTAGCAGTTGTATATTATTTTAAAATATAAAATACTAAATTATATTCTATACTAAAATTTAAAATAATAACAGACTACAAAAATTTATAATATTTTTTTAAGTTACACAAATTAACTAAAAGATATATACAGTAAAGGCTATTTTTAAATAAATTTAACTTTAAATTAATCTACTAAAAAAAAACTAAGAACTAGAGAGCAAACACCTTCTTCTAATATAAATAAAATATACTTAATAATTATAATTCTTAAATATTCTCTTATATAATACAGATTTTTTATAAAATACTAGGAGGGCAAAGAAAGCTTAAAATAAGAATATTTAAAATAGCTCTTATATAAACTTTACAGGAGTAAAATCCCTAAAAACTAGGGAATAATTTAATTAATAATTAAGGATAAATATTTATATAAGACCTTAAATACCAAGCCTTATAAAATCTTATATAACTAGATAGCTATAAATTTTTTTTATAATTAGGCTTTAAGATTTCCCCTAGTAAATATATAATAAATAAAAGGTTTATCTACTTTTAAGGACATTAATAAATACTAGATTATAAATTATTCTGTACGTGACTTATTTAAATAAATTATAATCTCTTAATCACAGGGTATCTAAGGCGTAAGTAGATATATCTTAATCTTAGTAGGTAATATTATTAATTAAATATATTTTATAATATTAGATAGTTTATGCGAAACTATAATACCTATAGTTATATAAAATATAATAAAAATAAAAATATAGTCTGCTGAAGCCCCTTCTAGCGCCTAACTAATTATAATAAAAGATAATAATAAATTTTATTATTAATTTACTTAAAAATAAGTCTTATATAAATCTCCTGGTAGTTATAGATAAACTTATAAAAAAAATTATATTATATATAATAAAAAAAATTATTTTAAAAATAATAATATAAGCTTTAATAAAAATAATTCTCAGATAATATAATCTCCTAAAAATAATTATATTAGACTATAGTATATAGTTTACTAGTTATATATAAAAAAAAATATGTGACTTGTTAAAAATAATAAGAAAACTATTAACTACTTATTACCCCTAGACTAATAAAGCTATTAAACACGCGAATAATACTATTAAAGTATATTTATAAACTTACACTAATTATAACTAAAAGAACTGGGTTAACCTACTGCCTATAGCTAAATTAACTATTAATAATTATATAAGTATAATTATTAGATTCTCCCCTTTCTTTCTGAGCCACAGCTATAAATTAAATATAATATATATAAAGACTGCTTAAAGCTCGGACTTTAATATTATAGCTTTAAGCTTAATAAGATAAAAAGATACTATTATATAAAAAATCCAGAATATATTAAATAAAGCTTAAGCTATTATCGCGTATATCTAGTAAAATACAAAGAAATAAGTAAATTAATCTTATTAAATAATATTATTATATAAGGTTAATAATAAAGTCTAGCTAAACCTAAAAAATATTAGTATAGAATACTCTAATAAGAAACTAGACTAAAAAAATATAAAATATATAATTATAAAACTAGTAGGCTTATATATTATATAACTAAATATATTAAAGGGTATTCACCTAATTTTCTATATTAATTTACTTTACCTAGTATTAAATAATCTACTTTTATTTTAAGAACAGGACGACCCATAACTATCTATTATTATAATAAATAATTAAAAGAAATATAAAATTAATAAAATCCTTAATAAATAAAATATATAAAAATAAAAGAAAAATTAATAATAATATCTTATAAAATAAACAGGCTACACTAAACTAACTTAGAAACCTATAATAATAATAAATAATACTAAAGCCGCAGCCAAATAATAATATTAAATTATAATTATATTTAACTAATTACTATACAGCTTATAAATATTAATTCCCGGACAGAAATATTTTTAATTTTTAATTAATTTAAAAAAAAGGTCTACCCCGCCCTAATAATTATAAAAAAAAAAAATAAAATAAAAATAATATTATTATTATATAGCTTTTAGTTATTATTTAACTTTTTAATAATAATATTTTTAGAAAAGGCAATAATTACTATAGGCTTATACTAATCCTTCTCTAGAATATAATAATTATAGTATGCCTTATAGTCTCAGAACTTGTACCTAGCATAAGCCCCACCCTATTATCTTAGTAATTATACAGTGTACTGGAACTTTATATAATTATTATATAAATAAACAGTTAATATTACTAGCTTATAAGACGCGATAAAAAAGATATTAATATAAAATAGATAACTAATATATAACTACTCTAATTATTAGTATATTATATAATAATTATACCTGTCTCTCTTACCTATATAATAAAGATAAATTTAACCTGTATCTTAAACTTATAACAGGGAAACTGCTATATATACTACTAATCCTCTATATAATAAAACTATAATAAAACCTTATTACCTCGCGCGGTTAAACAGATAATAACCTAATAATTAGGCAGGCTGGTATTATTATTATATATAATTTATTTATAAATAATCTAGAAAAGAGAATTACGGCCAGCAGAATTAATAATAATTATAAATAAATTATAATAGACCGGAACAAGAATATTACCTTTATAAGTTTTTTTATTAAATATAGTTAAATTAGTAAGAAAAGATTTATATAAGAAGATTAAATATCTTAAACTTAAAAAAAAAAACAATAATCTTAATAAAAAAAAATAATATAATAGGGGGGGAGGCCTTTCTTATATAAGATATTATATAGTAAATATAACCCTAGGAGACTAGCCTAGCCGTTCTTATAATATCTATTATATAGTTTATATAATAAAGCTTCTTTTAAATAGCTAGTACTGCTAGAAAAGACTAACTTATATAAATAATAATATTAAGAAAGGGACTGCTGTATTAGATTTATCCTATACTTATAAATTAATCTAGCCATCCTGTACGAAAATAGCACACCTTATAGTATAAGAATATTAGGAAAGAAAGAAGGGGGGGGCTATTATTATAGAACTACCCCTAAATATAAAAGTTCTATCTAAGGCATCTCTTGGTGCCTAAGGCCTCACGGCCACTAGTACTAGTATATTATATAATAAAAAGATTCATACGGACGCAAGGAATAGCTCTCCAGCTATTCCTTCTTGTCCAAGGCATGTTTAGAACAGAAGCTTCTTCTCGTCCCGTAACAATAGGCGGGGGAAGAAAGACAAACAGAGCAAATACAGCGAATAATATAAACACTAACTGGACCTTAGCTAGAATGCTACAGCCTTTATATAATATTTGTAATACTGAAATTAAAGAAACTATTATTAAAGTAATCTAAACACTAAGATGTGCTTGTTTATTATTTCTGGATTGGATATCACACGGCGGAAACGCCGAAAATATTACTAAAAAATATATAACTCAGGCCTTCTAAATTAAGTGCTAGATCTTGGCATTTTTATAATATTTATGATTAACAGAGATTGTACTCTATAAAATATCGTATTTAATAATAATTCTTTTTGCTATCGATCGGTAGTCCGATGACCGGACTACCGATTGGATCGTTGTTAGGTTGATAATAATCCGATGATAATTATCGATCGTTCGGCCGATAGTGCCGCAGTCTAGCCACATTGATTATTTTGTACTGTACTCGAAGCTATTCCAGGCAGCGATATTTTTGCGCAATTTTAGTGGCGACGTCTTCCTGCTTAGCGTACCGGTGTTTGAAGAGGTGGTCGTTAGTAACCAATATTGATCCAAAATAACAAGTCAGTGGAAATTAAGGCAAGTTGGATGGGCTGACGCCGCACTTACCCCCAGTTCACCCCGGTTGGGCGACGGTAAAGCGGCCTCACCCGCTAGCTCACCCAGGCGGCACACACCCGGCTTCTGGCCGTGTTAAAGCCACCGGCCGGCCAGTTAGTAGTTGGGTGGGTGACCACCAACGATTCGCGGCTGTGAATGTAGACAGTTTACCCATTCTTTGCGACTCGTTTAGTTTAGCGCGCGTGCCGTCCTGTCTTCCGTCGTTCACCTGAACGCCCTGAAGCCCTCTAAAATTCACCCGCCATACCTGTCTAGCTGAGGTGGTCTTTTCTTGCAACTTTCGTCAGAAGTAGAGTCAGTCTCTCGACTTCTGTTTTGCTTGCTTATCAAGCCACGTACTGCCGCCACGTTCAGTGGCTTTGCTTTCCTTTTCAGCCCTCTCTGCCCCTTCGATGGAACTAGCTGGGAGTGGTCGGGATTTCTGCTGAGAGTTACCGCCGAACGGACATGTTCGCATCATGACCACGATGGCGTCGACCAAGCCATTCCACATGATTCTAGTACCTGGATTCCTCAGCAACTGAATAATCCCGGACAACGAACGCGGGATTATCGTCCTTAGGCACCTTTTGTACGAGACTTGAATGAAGCGAAAAGACAACGATTCCTGGCTCAGCGGGGTTCTGGAACAGAACCCAACCCCTCCCGCAACTCCACCAGCCAACATCGACGGTGGCTATCAAACGAAGCGACGAAAGATGTCACACAGGGGAACATCAACGTCCCGGAAACGCAAGATTCATGATGACACAACTAGCTCGCTCACTGATCTTACTGATCGCACAAGGTTCGATCCTTCCATTCAGAGCTCATCTGGAACCTCACGACAACGAAGCCCCGTGCGAGACTTGCTCAACGAACTCCCTCTGTCAAGCCCATCCATTCACTGCAGTCGGCCCAAAAACGTACCACTTCCTGATTCAGTCCGTTTCCTTCGGCAAGCTCTTGGCCTTGATTTCGGCTTCAAGCTGATTCTGGCTCCGCTTAAGGTGATCCTAGACTGCTCCTCAAAATAATAGCTGGCGCAGTTACTAACATGGCTTCGTATAATTTTATGATAAAATCCGTACCGAAGCCCCTGACGAAGCCATAGATATTCCAGACGCCGCGTTTTACGACGCCGCCAATTCGACACCGGAGGAACTTTATGCCTTATGGCAGGACGTCACGGAAATATATAATGAGGCTGCCGAGGCTGAGGAACATGGGCAGGATGAGAATGCTTGGGGCTCTGGAGTAATCCAGGCAGTCCTCCAAAGAGGCGTCAAGCGCCGTATTCTTCAAGTGAAAAACGTGTTAGTGTCAAATGTCAGTCTATGGCAGGAGGCTCGCTATTAACTAAAGAACAGACAAACAAAGAATATCGACCCCTGTCTTCTCCCACGCCTACCGCACAAGAATGCAGTCAGCAAGAAGGTTGATTACACATTTGCATTTTCCGTCCGAGACCCGCAAGTGAAGGAAACCTACAACAACTTTTGGAACGCTTTTCCAGATCAAACAGTCAGCCAGACCACAGACCCCTTTACAAAGCGTGTTGCTCTCTTTTCAGGCATTGAAGTGAAACAATCAAATGGCGGTAACACGGAGGCACTGGTGCAACTTGCTATCTGGTTGGCTGCTGGGCTGGAGAAGTTGTCACGGTTACGGGATCTCCACGGGGAGAAATCAGATAGGAGCTCTTACCAGGCATCGGATGGACAGTAATAGGACATGACTGGAATTTATATATTGCCTTTAGAGGTTGCTTTGAAGGGCAAGACAGAATCGTGAGTAGGAGCCATACAAGATTCTCATACCGTACTAACACTTTGTGATAGTATGTGGACGGACCCGTCGAAAGCCTCAGCGCCAGTACACGCACATACTACGGGATTTTCAAGCTAATAAATCTTGTTCACAAGCTGTCATTATATGCCGAAGAGGTGTATTGGCCGTGGATGAAATCAGATATATTGACACGCACCCAGTCGTGAAAGATGATACTGTGGACAATACGCCTCGACAAACACGCGAGTGACACATAAATTTGAAACAGTATCTCGATGGTGTTATGAAGGAGAATGCGGATTTGTTTACATTGCGCACTTTGAGCCAAAGCGAGACCGAGCTTTGAATGAGACGCGAATATAGCCTTCTGTACGATCAGAAGGTAAAATTCATAGTTCCTCACACCTGATTCTTCTGTACTGACTCAGCGGGTTAGACTCAGCCAGGAAGAATAGATCTCAAAATCTCATAAATCATCAGGCAATACCAAGGCCCGGTGATTTGAGAGCAGAGCATCGAAGCCTTAATTATGCAGGGGTTCAACATTCTGTTCGTACAGGAACCCAGGACGCAGGTCCCGCGGCACAGAACGAGGATCTCGTCGAGAAGCTCAAGAAGCTCATCGAGAGTTTCGATCCCCGGCGAACCCGAATATAAACTCCTCCCATTACCTCCGTTCACGTGCAAGAAGTTGGTTGGAATACGAATTACTTTTTCCTTGACGGTTCAACCTCCCACCAGGAGCCAAAAGTGTGGAATGTGGTTTGGACCCGAATCGAATTATGAACCTTGTATTGAAAAGTATCCCAAGAGCACTATGCGAGGTCATTCTATCGGACAAACCATGCTCATCAGACTAGTAGCATCTGGCGAAGATGTCTATACCGACGCGGCCCGGCTACTTCTTTACCGTGTTTGCAATCCACTCCAGAAGATTAGCGGTGATTCTCTATTGGAGACGGCCGTCTGTCCGGACGCTTTCAGGAGATGGTTGGAGATAAGACCCTTGACAGTGGTAAACTCATAATTAGGCCGAGATGGTTTTAATCCCAACGTATTAGGTCTACAACAACCTTGAGAACATTGCCTTTATCTTCTATCAGTCTTTTTATTTTTACCTACAATACAGAGATCGCAAGGATCACACTCTAAAAGTAAGTCGCGGCGGTATTAAACACAAAAAGGCCTTATAAGCCTAATTAAGGAAAAAAATTAGATCAGAAATATCTTAATATGTCTAAATACCGGGTTAATCAGTATCAAGTAAGCCGGATAATCCTTATCTGATACCTGGACCAGCAGCTTCCTAATAATATTTTGCGGCCTGATATAAAGTTAGGATGCGAATTACTACATATATATAAATAATATAATTTTATATCCGCCAGCTTGCAAGATAAAGACTGGTGCGCTGCTAATTACATTATAAGAAAAGGAATGTATCTCTGGCACCATAAATATCCTAAATACAAAGCAAACATTTGTATGCTTCCGATATCCTAAGGCATACTCTGACTATAATAAAATAAAAAAGTATTTTAAATTATGGCATTTAATAGATTAAAAATATAATTTTTATAATTTATCTGTCTTACATAAGATGCACTTGTGTAAGGGAGTTATATTAAGGACATCCATAGCCTTTAAATATAAATATTAAGTTCTAGTTTTCCAATCTTTAAGGCCCTTATATTATTCATGTGTTTTTGGATATAATTAGTAAAACTATAATTAAGTTAGCAGTTATTTAATTTAATCTGTAAAATCACATGTATTTTTATAATGATTCGCGGAGAGGAATTCTATAGTAGCTAAGGCCGAGTTATTTTTCTAATACTTAGTATTATTAATCTTGATTATTTTATCACCTTTAATATATTTATGCATCAGCTGCATTAATACTCATATAATGGGAAATAAGTTACTTATTCGGACTCTATCTGGCAGCTATTCAGATAGGTAATTAAGTTATGCTAAGATATCTAGCTAGGAAATAGTTTATAATAATTTTAGTATGTAATAGTCTTACTAATATAAATATCCTTTTTAAAATTTATTAAAATATCAGAATAGTTCAGGAAGAGATTATAAAAATTATTAAAAATAAAGTATAAGAAACTATTAATAAACTATGAAGATTAGCTTCAGAACATTATAGGAATAAAAAAAGAAAATTTAATTTAAGATATAATATTAATTAGTTAAAAATAGTTTAGGAAGGCTTTATAAGTAATAATATATTTAAAAGTAATAAAATAAAACCTATTGTCAATTGGGGTCACCTGACATCACCTGATTCATCAGAATCACCTGATTTCGCCCCACAACTGAAATTATTCAAAATTCACTACAACTTTACTCTCACTTTATTGAACTCTCACTTCCACCACCAAATTGTATGGGAAAAGCAAGGTAAAACTAAGCTTAATATAAGCAGAAAATAAAAAAGAAAAATTTCTAAAGAATTTCCTATTTTAGACTAGCTTATCTTCTTATTTAGGAAACCACTGGTCGCTAGAATCCTATGAAAATCAGAAAATATAATTCGATGAATTTCCTATCTAGGAAATTAAAAGTTTATTTTAACCACTGTAATTAATGTTTTTATTCAGATGATTAATACTGTTATGGGACAAGAAGAAGCTTCTGTTCTAAACATGCCTTGGATAAAAAGGAATAGCTAGAGAGCTATTCCTTGCATCTGTATAAATCTTTTTATTATATAATACACTAGTACTAGTGGCCGCGAGGCCTTAAGCACTAAGAGATGCCTTAAATAGAGCTTTTATATCTAGGGGTAGTTTTATAATAATAACCCCTCCTTCCTCCTTTTCTAACATCCTTATACTATGAGATGTGCCATCTTTATACAGGATAACTAGATTAATCTATAAGTATAAGATAAACCTAACATAATAATCCCTTTCTTAATACTATTATTTATATAAATTAGTCTCTTTTAACAGCACTAGCTGTTTAAAAGAAGCTTTATTATATAAACTATATAATAAGTATTATAAGAGCAGCCAGGCTAGTCTCCTAAGGTCATATATATTATATAATATCCTATATAAGAAGGGCCTTCCCCTCCTATCATATTATTTTTTTTTTATTAAAATTATTATTTTTTTTTCTTTAAATCTAAGATATCTAATCTCCTTATACAAATCTCTTTTCGCTAATTTAATTATATCTAATAAAAAAGCCTATAAGGGTAATACTCTTATTCTAGTCTATTATAATTTATTTATAATTATTATTAATTTTACTAGCCATAATTCTTTCTTCTAAACTATTTATAAATAAATTATATATAATAATAATACCGGCCTATCTGACTATTAGGTCACTGTTTATCTAACCACGCGGGACAATAAGGTTTTATTATAGCTTTATTATATAAAGGACTAGCAGTATATATAGCAGTTTCCCTGTTATAAGTTTAAAATACAGGTTAGATCTATCTTTACTACGTAAGTAAGAGAGACAGGTATAATTACTATATAATATATTAATAACTAAAGTAATTATATACTAGCCGTCTATTCTATATTAACACCCTTCTTATTATATCTCGTGGGCTAGTGATATTAACTGCCTATTCATATAATAACTATATAAAGTTCTGGTATACTATACGATTACTAGAATAATAAGGTAGGACTTATACTAGGTATAAGTTCTGAGACTATAAAGCGTGTTATAATTATTATACTCTGGGGGAGGATTAATATAAGCTTATAATAATTATCGCCCTCCCCAGAAATATTATTAAGGAGTTAAATAATAATTAAAAGCTATATAATAATATTATTATTTCTGTCTTTTCTTTTTTTTTTTTTTTATAATTATTAAGGCGGGGTAAGCCCTTCTTTTAAATTAACTAAAAATTAAAAATATTTTTATCTAAAAACTAATATCTGTAAGCTATATAATAATTAATTAAATATAATTATAATTTAGTATTATTATCTGGCTATAGCTTTAATATTATTTATTATTATTATAAATTCTTAAGTTAGTTTAGTATAGCCTGTTTATTTTATAAAATATTATTATTAGTTTTTCCTTTATCTTTGTATATTTTATTTATTAAGGATTTTATTAATTTTATATTCCTCTTAACTATTTATTATAATAGCAGGTGGTTATAGATTATCCTATTCTTAAGATAGGAGTAGATTATTTAATATTAGGTGGAGTAAATTAACATAAAAAACTAGGTGAATACCCTTTAATATATCTAATTATACAGTATATAAGCCTACTAATTTTATAATTATATATTTTGTGTTTTTTTAGTCCAGTTTTTTATTAGAGCATTTTATACTAATATTTTTTAGATTTAGCCAGACTTTATTATTAATCTTATATAATAATACTGCCTGATAGGATTAATTTATTTATTTTTTTATATTTTATTAAGTATACGCGATAGTAGCCTAAGCTTTATTTAATATATTTTAGATTTTTTGTATAATAGTATCTTCTTATTTTATTAGGCTTAAAGCTATAATATTAGAGTCTAAGCTTTAAATAATCTCTATATATATTATATTTAATTCATAGCCATAGCTTAGAAAAAAAAGGGAGAACCTAGTAATTATACTTATATAATTATTAATAATTAATTTAGCCATAGATAGTAGGTCAACCTAGTTTTTTTAATTATAATTAATATAAATTTATAAATATATTTTAATAGTATTATTCGCACGCTCAGTAGCTCCATCAGTCTAGGAATAATAGATAATTAACAGTTTTCTTGTTATCTTTAACAAGTTATATACTTTTTTTTATATATAACTAGTAAATTATATATTATAATCTAATATAATTATTCTCAGGAGATTATATTATCTAAAAACTATTTTTATTAAAACTCGCGCTATTATTTCTGAAATAATTTCCTTTATTATATATAATATAATTTCTTTTATAAATCTGTCTGTGACCACCAGGAGGTTTATATAAGACTTATTCTCAGGTAAATTAGTAATAAAGTCTATTATTATTTTTTATTATAATTAATTAGGCGCTAGAAGGGGCTTTAACAGACCATATTTTTATTTTTACTATAATTTTATATAATTATAGGCGTTACAGTTTTATATAAACCACCTAATATTATAGAATATATTTAGTTAATAATATTATCTGCTAAGATTAAGATATATCTGCTTATACCCTAAGTATCCTGTAATTA